TCGGGCTCTCGCTGAACTGGCCTTTTACTTTGGCTTCTAGCCATGGTTTAAAGGAGAAATCCGGGAAATGCGAAAAAAGGGGAACACTTCAAAAAGCAAAGAAAACCGAAGCAAATTACTAGGAAATTACCTTCTCCTGACTCGGAATTCGCCGATCTGCAGATTCGGAGAGCCAGATTTTGAGTTCAAAGCTTCGGATTGCGAGAAAATGGTGAAGAAAAAACTTAGGTATTGCGCGTGTTTGGGAGATAGTTGGGTTTTGAGTTGCGAAATGGAAATTGCAGGGGTCGAAGCACTCTTAAATATGTCCTGGGATTCAGTTTCCGGAACTGAAGAGGTATTAACCACTCACTAAGCACTATTTCAATTCGTGGCTACTCAAATCCTTCCCACTTAATTGCAACCGCCAAAATTAACTTCCCCTTTAAATTCTTTCCACTTCCCCATTATTCTTAATTAATTGTCGTTAAGGTTAGTTAAGTATAAATTAACGGTTAAAAATCGTACAAATTCCTCAAAGTCTCTCGGCAGCTGAAAACCCGACCTGTTATCCTCACGAATCGGGTCTGGGGGGCAAGTTGTTTGGGGTCCAAATAACTTGTATTTGGGCCCAGTCCACAAATGAAAATAAACAAAGCCCAATAGGCAAGGTCCAACCTTCTGGCCCATGTGCCAAGTCAAGTTAACGAAACCCAGTCAAATGGCAGCCCATTTGACTCCTCAAGCCCACTCCATTCAATTGGAGCAAGGTATAAAAGCTCACACTTATGCAAATTTAGATTCATTCACTCATATTGCCTCAAGCAACAAAACTCTCTTGCATAGCAATTCTCTCTCCATTTTACACTCGTACTGACTTCGGCATCGGAGGGGCCTTCCTCGGCACAACCCCCGAGGCCAGTTTACGTTTGTTTAGCTGTGCAGGAAATCCCCAATTCGGTCATCACTCGAATTGGGCTTCATCTCCACTCATCCGAAGGACCTGCCGAAGGTCCCATTGTTTTTACCGAAACACCATGTATATTCGTTTGTGCCCTAATAGATCACATCTAATCGTAAATCAATTTCATATCTATACTTCGAGTTAAATTAACAAGAAAAGTTTGATTTAGTATAGATATATGTCGAGATGGCGTGTTAAATAGGTATATGTTTACACAAAATGACAATACATATTTTTTTTCTTGGTGGATTCACACGATGACACAAATAAATAAGCTATTCTCATAGTTGTCCTGATCATGAAGTTCTACTCATTTCATACTACTGTAAAACCAATTACTTGATGATACCAAGAGTAACTTCTTCATTGTATAACATTATATGGTATATTGGTAATATTTTCTCCTCTTTTTTCAATGTGTGAGTTAACTCACATGCGAATCAAGTATACGTTCTACATGACATGGATGCAATTTAGGACGTATATTACTTATATTGTGTTCGTCGTTAAAACTTAGTTCACAAATGATGCTCAAGGAATATGGAATAATAGATGATTGATTTATGCCAATGTCAATTTGTCACAAGACTCACAAGCTCACAACTCGCAACTCGCAACTCGCAAGTAAGAAATTGTTGATTAATACAAAAACCCACTCAAGGCCCACAACAGCTTCTTATCACCGAAAGGACTACGTCAATGGCCCAATAGTCATATTAGACTCCACGATTTTTGGGCATCCAATCAGCTTAGATGATTTCCATTTTGATTGTCATTCAACCATTTGATTATCCAAAAATAAAATCTCGAGCAAGAGAGACTTAAAAATGACTTCACTTGGATTTCTTTAAATTTAAAAGGTAAGGGTAAGTTTAAAATTTTTACGGGGAATAACTTTAAATGTTACGTCAATATTTTAAAAATTAATATTTTAAAATCACATATCATGATTCATGAAGAATTTAATAAGATTACACACTTATCTTAATAACAATTCTATAATTGGGTCCAAAGCTTATTTATTTATATATGACAAGGACCACCATTCAAGATTTGAATATATAGACTCCAACTGTCATCCTAAAAAGTTGAGGCTCAATTTTTGCATTTTCATCACTAATGAAATATGTTATGAACTTTCATTTTCTAAAAATTAATAATTTAATATAAATGCCACATACTAATGTACGAAATTAACGAAAAAGTTAATTTGCTTCATCTTAATAAATTATGGATAAATACAATGCATGATTTATTTAATTTTTTTAATTTGAATTTGTTTGAGAAGTGTTGAGAACTTTGGAACAATGATTGAGATTTAGAAGCAATAACCGACAAAATAAAAAAAAAATGTTGGGTGACTATTTTTGAAGTAAACTGGACCATTAAGGCCGTTATGGATATTAGTACATTGCTCATATTGGACAAGAACACAAGATCATTAATCACGGATGTTCCCACACTGATCCAAGGACACATGCCGCACAACACAGGCCTATGGCCCATATATTTCAGTTTCACTAGATCTTTCAAAGCCCAATATTCCAGCCCATGACACTTTATTATTTGAAAACAATATACACTGTCATGTGTTTCACTTTTATTTTTATTTTTTTCCTTTAATTATTTGTTCCTATGTGTCATTTCACTGAAAAGTCACTTGTATTATGTGATTCTCCTCTTCACCTACATGAAGTTAGTTTCTTTTAAAATTACAATTAATTGTTAACTTCCGTCTCTTGGTTTTATAAATTTCTTATATAATAGGAACATCGTATCTTGTAATAAGTATGTCATCAACAGACAAAACCAAGAAGACTACATAGCTCCCACTAAACCTCTTGTATGCACAAGTTTCTTCATTTGAGACTATCAACCAATTTGATAAACTCACTAAATCAAAGATTTGATGCTTACTTCAATTCATTGATGGACCTTTTTGAAGCTTACTACATGCATCTCTATGATTTCTTGGACCTTTAAAACGTTTCCGTGTGTATCACATATGCATTCTCTTTCATGAACGATTTAATGACCGTTTCATTATTTGCAAAGGATTCATCATGTAAGCTATGCCTTATACTCGCTTAAGGCATATATATGTGTAGTTTTCAATCGAATTCTGATATATGATATTGGAATTTATACAGTTAAGAGTTTTCTAAAGTACTTGGAAAAGGCCTAAAGGAAACGTCTAGGTACATGTCTAAATGCAAATCTTAATTTCTATAAAAAGATAAGTATGTAAATAAATAATAAAATGGTTTCATATAATTTGTGTTTGGTGTAATGATGGACTTAAAATATTATATAAAAAAACATTATCATCAAATTAATAAAATATTATGTTAGAAAATCATTAACTGTTGATAGCTTAAATTATTAAATTTTATTAATCTTTGTATTATACAAATTAATAAAATTGTTAACAAAATTTTTTATCTTACATGAATTATCAAATGACAAAAGAAGAGTTTGGACATATTTGCTCATTTTCTACAAAAAAAAAAAAAAAGTTTTATCAAACATGTATTATCAACTCACCAAATTAAATGCCCCTGAGTCATCACTTAATTCACCATATACACTAAGTTTCGTAGAAATTCAACAGATGCTTTAATGACTGTTGTTAATTATTTCCTTAGTAATTAGAATTAATCATGGTACGTGTTATTACAGTTGATCGAGATACTTCTTGACACGTAAACCGATGCATTACGTTATTTTTTTTGTCAATCTTGAGCTTAATTTGGGCCCTTAAAGACCATACCCCCAAAATCTTCACGAAACATTTTTCAACCACGCAAATCGAGAAAAAATATTATTTTAATAAATAATCAAAGTAATAAAAATAACTAATTATATCATGACACGTGTTATGGTTAATTCTAATGACTAACGCCTTTAGTTATTAAGGACATAGTGCATATTGTAAAACTTAGGGGACATATGTTTAATTTCATAATGCTGGGAGTATATAGTGAATTAAACGATAACTCAAGGTCATTTGGTTAAAATACTGAAAATTATATATGCTCATCATTTTTAACAAGTAGGCAATAAAAATATTCTTCATTTAACAAATTAAGCATATTTATATCATCAATGATAAAGAGAATAATTTATATTATCAATGATAAATAAATAAATAAAGAGAATAAAAGAATAAAAATTTGTAAAAGCTCGAGACTTGTTTAAAAGCACGAATTGTCTTGGTGTGGTGAAGCAATGGAATCAAGTTCCAACTTGCACTTTTGTTAACTCCAGTAAACACCCAACCCGGCGTGAACGGCCTTGCACAGAAGTTGAGCACAGATGTTTCGTTGGTGGCCTTGCATGGGCCACTGATGACCAAGGGTTGGAGACTGCTTTTGCTCCTTACGGACAAGTCATTGATACCAAGGTTTCGTGTTGCTTAATTTCCTTAAAAATTGAAAAAAAAAAAAAATTAAAAAAATGGATGATTCTGTTACTTTGATCTGTTACTATTGCTACTATTGTTACTTAAACTGTTGTTTTTATGATGATATCCGGAAACGGTACGTTCTCGAAAGATGAATGATCAATTTCTTATTTATATTCAATTTTTCTGTAATTTTGAGTTAATTATAATAGTTCTGGATCTAATGTTGCATATTTCGATTGATTTTCAGATAATCCTAGACAGAGAAACCGGCAGATCCAGAGGATTTGGCTTCGTTACATTCGGAAGCAAAGAAGAGCTTAATGCTGCAATCGAAGGAATGAACGGTCAAACACTCAACGACCGTCAGATCACTGTTAACGAGGCCCAAGCTCGCGGCAGTGGCGCGGAATCGGAAGTCGCCGATACGGAGGTGGTGGCGGATACAGAGGTAGTTATGGTGGTGGTAGTTTCTTCGAAGGTCGTGCTAATGATGGTTGCAATGACGGTAGCTGGAGGAATTAAAATTATGACTTGATATCGTTGAGTTAGTTAGATGTTGTGAAAGGATGGTTAATTAAGACTTGAGAGTGAAAATGGGTATTACTGTTTGTAATTTTTTTTTTTTTTTTGAAAGGCAGCAGAGCAATATTATTAAAAAGCAAGAGCATCCATTGTTACATAAGGGGAAATAGTAGGGGGAACACAGTTAACCCAAGTTTGCTCAAGGTCTAAAGGGATAAAATTTGCAAGATTATGGGCCACTACATTTTCCTCCCTTCTTACATGGCTCCATTGAAGGCTGCTGTATCGAGCTCCCTGCATCATCGCATCACCTAGTACCATGTCCAGATCAGTGTTGTGCACCATCTCTTTCGACAGTCTCGTTACAATCACTTGGCAATCTGATTCGATAATGGCATTAGTGATCCCAAACTTTACACCCAGGCTAAGAGCCCATACTATTGCTTTTGCTTCCGCAATTTCTACTGACCACCACGCCCTGATCCTTCTTGAGGCCGCAAACAAGACTGACCCTTCGTCATTCCTAGCCACTACACCCAAGCCTACCCATCCCTCATTGGTGATCGAGGCATCTGTGTTGATTTTAACAAAGTCATGGGGCGGAGGGAGCCAACTACGAGAACTCAAACAAGGGATTGGCATCCCCACTTTGTTCAGCTTTTCTTCAAGACTCTTGCTTTCCTCAGCCCATCTCAACACACGAGCTTCAAGTAAATCAGTAGAGCCATCTTTCCCCTGGAAAATTTTCATGTTTCTCTCTTGCCAAATACCCCACATCAGATAAATACCACGTACCTTGATATCCTTCGGCAAATTTCCCCAACTTTCAATGAGATCACAAGGAGTAAGATTGGCAGCTTCCTTCTTCATTTCTTCACAGCCTAGCCTGTTCCACAAGCCCTGGATTCGTTTACAGTCAAAGAAAGTGTGCTGCCAGGTTTTTGATTCATTCTCACACCAAGGGCACCAGTCATTCTCAGCAAGGTGGCGATGTTTAAGAAGCATGCGGATAGGGATGGTACCTGTGCAAAAGCGCCATAGAAAATTCCTGGCTTTCGGGATAATTTGTGCCTTCCAAATATCAACCCATGCTTGATGAAAATCATCTAGGTTGCAACCCTTTCCCAGCATATATGAGGTCTTCACCGTGTACTCTCCATCCTTTGAAAACGCCCAAATCAGTTTGTCAGGAGGGCACCTTAAGCTCAAAGGAATTGACAGTATGCACTTCTTATCTCGATCATTGAAATTTGCCTGGATCTTGTCATAGTCCCAAGCCATGGCCTCCGTATTTATTAGCTCACTCACCTTCGTAAGATCCTCTGATGGAGTACTCGTTGCAAAGCGGCCTACCTCATCACATATCCAAGGGTCTTCCCATATCTGTATGCACTCTCCATTACCCACTCGCCAAAGCATCCCTTCTTTTATTAGGGATTTCGAGCCCCATATGCTCCGCCACGAGAAGCTGCCCCCGTATCCAAGAAACGATCCAAGGAAATCCGAGTGCCTGTAGTATTTCGCTCTCATCACTCTGCTTAGCAAAGAGTTGCTTTGTGATATTATACGCCAGGCTTGTCTTCCTAGGAGAGAGTCATTAAAAATTGCCAAGTCCCGAAATCCCATCCCTCCAAGACATTTAAGAGTGCACATAGAATCCCTACTTTTCCAATGTATTCTTTTTCTATCCACACTTTTCCCCCACCAGAAATTCGCCATTGCCACATGAATCTTCCTAATCACCTCTGCTGGGAATTTATATACCCCCATGAGATAAGTTGGGATAGCTTGGATCACTGACTTTAAAAGAATCTCTTTTCCTGCCTGGGACAATAACTTCTCCTTCCATCCTTGTAATTTTTTCCACACCCTATTCAACAAAGCTTCAAAGACTCCCCTTTTTGATCTCCCTGCAATATTTGGGATGCCAAGATATTGTCCATGCCTCTCAACTTGCTTCATTTTCAAAATTCCAATCATCTCTTCTTTTTTCTCAGTCTCCACTCCCTTACTAAACGGCACGTTCGATTTCTCATAGTTAATTTTTTGTCCCGATGCTGCTTCGTACTGGTTGAGGATATCAACAATGTTTGAGCATTCCCGACGGTTAGCCCTAGTAAAGAGTAGACTGTCATCTGCAAAAAGAAGATGAGAAATTTCCGGACCTCTCCGACATGGCTTAATCCCATGAATGTCCCCCGTAGCTGCTCTACTCTGTATCATATGGGAAAAAAGCGTCAGCTACTATAATGAACAAATAGGGGGAAAGGAGATCACCTTGGCGTAAACCTCTCGAAGGAGTGACATTTCCGCATACTTCCCCATTTATTACAAATGAGAATTTAACTGAGGAGACCAAATTCATTACCAAATTTACCCATCTTCCATCGAACCCCACCTTCAAGAGCAATTGGCGCAGAAAACCCCATTCGACCCTGTCGTAAGCCTTGCTCATATCTAGCTTCATTGCCATGTGTCCCTTTCGCCCCTTTCTCCTCTTCTTCATGGTGTGAAAACATTCTAACGCAATCAAAGCATTGTCAGTAATAAGCCGACCCGGGACAAAAGCACTTTGGTTTTCAGAAATGATGTTTCGAAGGACTTCTTTCAGTCTGAGAACAATGCATTTCGTTATGAGCTTGTATATCACATTGCACAGGCTTATTGGTCGAAAATCAACAGCATGTTGCGGCTCTTTCACTTTCGAGACCAGGGCTATGTTTGTCTTATTGATCCTTTCCAGAATAGCATTGCCATTTAGGATGCCAATCACAAAATCTGCCACATCGTTCCCAACTATATGCCAAAATCTTTGGTAGAATATGGCATGCATGCCGTCAGGGCCCGGGGCTTTACTCGGGTGCATATGCTTCAGGGCTGTGTGAACTTCCTCTCTCGAGTATGGTCTCAGGAGCATGGTGTTTGTGGCTTGGGAAACAGTTGTCGGAACTCGCCCAATAACCTGTTCAATATTAGCAGAAGAGGGGTTAGAAGAGGTGAAAATGTTTCTGAAGTAATTTTCAATTATGGAGGATATATCCTCCTCGTTCGTCTTCCACGTCCCTCCTTCATCCCACAAGCCTTTGATGGTATTTTTTTTATGCCTCTGCGACGTTTTGTGGTGGAAATAATTGGTGTTCCTATCACCCTCCTTCACCTCTGCCACCCTTGACCTCAAATGTCAATAAGCTTCAAGCTTTCCTTGCAAATCTTCTAACTTTTTTTTCAATTTCAGCACACTCTAAACAGCTCTCCACGCAAATTGGTTTCTCCTGGGCCATTTGTAATGCTTCTTCAGTCGCATTTATTTGCTTTCCCAAATTCTCAGAGCTCTCCTCTCTCCACCTCAACAACCTCCTTCCTACCATCATTACTTTCCCCACCACATCCAGGCCAGCTGCCCCTTCCCACGCCCCTTCTATAGTCTCCTCACATCCTTCTTCAGTCAGCCAATATGTTTCGAACTTGAAGTCTTTCATCTTCCTTCTCTTCTTTTTTTTGGAGTTGTTATTATAGTGAAGCAATATTGGTGCATGGTCTGAGTTAACTCTTAGTAGATGATCCACTGTTACTTCTTTGAACATTGAGCACCACAAGGATGAGCCTAGAAATCTGTCTAGCCTTTCCCGTACCCTTGTACTAGGAGAATTTCCCCATTCCCAAGTATACCACGTGCCCCGGTATCCCAAATCACGCAACATACAATCACTAAGGGCTACTCTAAAATTCTCTAATTCCCTCCTTTCACCCTGTGCACCACCCTCCCTCTCATCATATGAAAGTAATTCATTAAAATCCCCTCCAAATAAAATTGGCACATCATCTTCACGTAGCTGCCTCATAAGTTTCCATGTGTTCGGCTTTTCCTCTATCCTTGCCCACCCGTATATGCCTACAAATCTCCAAAGCACTTTCCCCTCGCTCCAAATGTCCCCACAAATGTCGTGTTGCGAGTAAGAGATAAGTTTGAAGTCCACCTTTTCTCTCCAGAATACACATAACCCTCCTGACCGCCCATTGCTAGAAACACCAAACGCTCCATGGAAGCCTAACCTTCCCCTTAAATCTTCTACTATCCTACTTTCTATTTTGGTTTCGGAAATGAATAGAATGTTTGGGCTATACTTTTGACTCCATTTGCAGAGTCTCTGAACTGTTCGAGGATTGCCCATTCCCCGACAGTTCCATGCAAGCACACTCATTGGGTTTGGCGGGGTTGGTCCTCGCCAACCTCCGCCATTGGCCCCACGCCATTCAAAAAAGTAGTATAAATGATCTTCTTTCCAATATGCCCCCCTTCTTCCATTTTTTCCCCTTCTTCCTCCCCGCCTCTCTTCCCCCTTTCCACTTGATTGCACCCCTTCCCACTCACCTCCCCCCATCTCTGATTTTTCTCTTCCAGCCCTTTACCCTTCCTCTCCCCCCCCCCCCCACTAACTATAACATCTTGAGATTGGTCATTACAGATGCTATGTTTGTTCCCAAACTCAACTTGCTCTCCCCCTATAGCCCCTTTTTGCTCCTTTTCCCCAGTAATCCCCTGCGTCAAAGCCATCTGTTCACCAGACTCTCCCTTGTTAGAACTCACTTCAGGGTTTGACATCTCCCTCCCATCCAACTCAGAAATAACCCTCCCCTGCTCTTTTTCATGTGTCTTCCCTGTGTTATGTGTTTCACTGCCCTCACTACGCTTCGCAGCTCTCTTTGTGATAAATAATTTCCTCACAGCACTGCTGAGATCACCTTCCTCATCATGAGTCTTATTCTTTATGGCTTTCCAAGGAGTGGTGACACGTAATTTTTCTGTGAAGTTTCTACGCACCACTTTCTCCTCACAATCTTTCTCCCCATGCTCTAATAAGCCACAAGTGTAGCAAAAGACAGGGAGTTTTTCATACTTCAGAGGCACTTCTATTAATCCCTTTCCAGTTTTAAGCTCCACCGATTTCTTGAGGGGTTTATTCACATCCAGGTAGACTCGAATCCTTAGGGACTTGTTTATCCCAATCACATCAGATTTGTCCATGTCTATGTAACGTCCAATAGCATCACCAATTCTCCTAGCATTCTCCTCATTATTTCTTCCCTTGAATGGTAATTCATAGATTCGAACCCAGAAAGGCACATATTTTAGGGGAATTTCATAGGGTTTGGTCATACCTTTGACATTAGCGAGGATCATAACATGGTGATCGAAATTCCACGGTTGCGAGTCCATAACAAACTGCTTATCCCTCCAATGGTGGAATTGGAAGTAAAAGATTTTATTTCCGATTACATTGACTTCACTGCCATACTTAGGGTTCCATATTTTTTTCATGGTGTTTATGAGAGCATTATTATTAATGTTTTGAGACGTATGGATTCTTCCCACAACAGCCAATTCAATCTGTGCTTCCTCCTCCTTTCCCCCATCATCCTCCCAATCAACAAGATTAGCCGGTTTATTGAGATCCAGACTATTATTATGATCATTCTCTCGTCCTCCCATGATTATTTTCATCTAGGGAGAACAATGACAATAATCAGGAGAAAAAAAGAAATCCCTCCTTCGAAATTAAAGACAAAACACTAGCAAATTGCTAGAAGAAAGACCCTCCCAAGAGACCCTCAAGAGAAAACCCTAGAGAAACCCTAGAGGGAACGTATGTAAACTTTTACTTGAATGGTCTACTGTTTGTAATTAAAACAATAGTTTCAGCCTTTGGATTAATGAAAAGAGATTGAATGCCAAATTTTTATTGTGTTCGTTTGTTGATTGATATTGGAGTATATTGGGGAGTTTTATGACATTGAAATGAAGAACATGATTAATCAAAAATCCGTTGCCAAAAAAAATAAAAAAAATAAAAAATAAATAAAATAATTTAAAATTGGATAATAAAAATTATTTAGGTATTTATCTGATGGTAGGTAATTACCAAAATTTATTCAGAATCATTCATAATTATATAACTCGAATTAAAAAAAAAATTAAAAAAATTACTTCCCGAATAAATTGGTTGATTTTGAATTTCTGGACAGTAAAAAATAATTGGATTTTTGATATGGTATAGTTGAATTTTTGGACAGCTAAAAATAAGGATGTTCTAGTCTTATAATCCATCTATTACTCTATTTTTTTTTTAGGAAATTTTCCTTTCTAAACTTTTTTTTTTACTCTTTTTGGAGAAGCAGTAATTTTCCTACGAAATTTCAATATATATATTTATTTATTAATAAATTTGACTATTGAGTTATACGAAGTATTCTCCTAGAAATTTCAATATCTCATTTATCAATGATTGATAAAACCAAGCCATGCTTGGGTATTATCTAGTTTAATTTAATAAAATGTAAAAAGATGTCAATTCAAAATCATGAAACTTTTTATAATTAGTAATACCAAGTATTTTTAATTGTTTTGTTTGTTTATTGTAAGGTCTTAATTTTTCCTTTTCAATAAAAGAAAAAAAATTACTAAATAATTTTTAAAAAATATAATCCAAAATCAAAAGCTTTTTTGAATTCGTAATTATTTGATGTATCCTGTATATGTTCTTGATTTATCCTTTCCCAAGTTTTTAAGTACATCCCATTAGCATAGGGTTAATTTAATGGAAAATTTCACCGAGAATACTCGTATAATCAAATGAGTAGTAGTTATTTACTAACTAAAGGCTTAAGGGGGCGTTTGGTTGAGGTATCTATCAAAAGGTAAAAGAATCAACTATCCTTATTTTCTTTGTTGTTGTTTATTAGTCTTTTTGTCTATTCCCTTTACCCTCTCCATTCCCTTAAATGTATCAAGTTGATTGCCCACCTCCCCATTAGGTATTTCAATTCTCATTCCTTAGTCACAACTACACCACTATACCCCCACCAGTCCACCACCCTTCAACCATACCCCCACCGCTGTAAAACGGTAAAACCCATCCACCCCTCACCCCACCCATGGCCATGACACCCCTCTCCCCAGCTCTGCCTCCCATCCCTTTCCCCCGTACCACTAGAAACACCACTTTTCGCACCCAAAAACCCTCCTCCTACCCCCAAAAAACTCTCCCCCTCCCCGGAATTCTCTAGCAACCCCTCCCTCCACCACCGAAACCCTAGCCGCCTATCTCCTTCTCCCAGAACCACCTCTCCCTTTCCCCCTCCCTCCCCTCAAAATTCCCTAAAAATCATCCCCTTCCCCATAAATCGCTCGCAACAAATGGTTTTCGGGGAAGGGGAGGGGTGAATCTGGTGGTTCGGGGGGAAGGGGATGGGTGGCAGGGGTGGAGGAAGGGCGGCCAAACATTTTAGTGGGAGAGGAGAGAGGTGGTTATACTACAAAAGTTGCAATTAACACCGGTTATAAATAGCAATAGATAGCGGTTATTAACCGCTGTTGATGAAAGCGCTATTATAAATGGGGCACCATTTAACAACGCTTTTTTCCAACCGCTATTAAATGTACATTTTCTATATTAGATATTTTATTTACAATTAATTTAGCACTCAAAAATACATATATAGTTTCATAACTTATGTAGGATTCGAACCTACGTCAATGTGCAATCGCATAGAGCTCTACCAATTGAGTTAATAGGCTTTACAATTAGAAATAAAGCTATATATATTCCAAATATAAAAGAACATGAATATATTTCATTTCAATTTAAATAATATGGAAAATAAATCATGCAAACTATAAACGTTAATTTTCTAGAATTAAAACATGGGGAAAATTATAATGTAATAAAGTAGCATGTAAGACGCTACATTGTTTACAAAAAAAAGATAACATGACTTCGTTTATAACAAAAGCTAAGGCTCACAAATACTTCATATATACTACAAAAACTAAGCTAAACAACAATCATTTCAATTTTTTTTTTGGCACTTCTTATAAATGAAAATTTTCACAGTAAATAATTAAAATCATTTTTTTTTTTTTAGTATAAGTTGAATAAAATCTGTAACTCTTCTTACCTTTTAAACTGTTTAAAGAGGTGTTCCGGCATTCGGCCATTGAGTTGCTCCAATGCCTATAACATAAAATTAAGATAAATCAAATAAAGATAATATTTAAGGTTCATACAAACATTGAAATAATTTACAACATTAAAAAAAAGGGGGGGGGGGATATAAATCATTCAGAGATGTTACTTTAGTTGTTGACTTGTTGATGAGGAAAATATCACTGAGGGTTTGGGTAATTTTTTTTTTTTTTGAGTAATTGGGTAATTAAGAGTTGGTGGTTATTTTCTTTTCATCTTTATCCTTTTTTCATTGAAAGAAGTTGGACTTGTAATTTATTGGAGATGTGGGTTGTGCAGCGGTCAAATGTACCCTTTATAACAATGGTTTATTGACCAGCGTTGTTGAATTTTTTTATAATTTCTAAAAAATTCTATTCACAACGGTTCCTTCTTAGACCGTTGTAACTTGAATCGTTGGATTTGTAACAACGATTCCTTTACTTGTTTACTAGTAAAACAAACAATCAAGGATTCGTTTGGTATCATTGGTTTTAGTTTTTTGGTTTTTTGATTTTCAAAATCATATTAAATTGTCATATAATGAATCAAAAATCGGTCAAAATTATTAAATTCATGATAATTTTGAAAATAGACAACAAAAAAGTGAAAATACCTTTTTATATTTCCTATTTTTGGTTTTATATTTTCAAAAAAAAAAAAATCAAAAAACAAAAAATTGTACGGCTAGACATTTTAAAAAATACCTAACAACCTTTGATACTACTAGAAGTCCTAATAGTAATACTGGTAGTTTTATAAGTACTACTGAGAGTGTCTATAATAGTACTAGTGAAAATGTCCAGTAGTACTATTTTACCGCTCACTAGTATGTACTCTCAAATTTGCCATTATTTACAAAATTGCCACTGTTAGACATTTGCCAATGTCTAATTGTTAGACTTTAGGACTTCCTCAGGCCAAACAAGCCCTAAGTAAATGTAAGGGTTTTTGTTTCCATTCACCTTGTTTCCCCCCCTGTTTTCCTTTGTTGAACCAAATGACCTCTAAATTATTGTCTTTTGCTAAATGTCCTGAACTTAATTCTGAACTAATTAAAATTATTTTAGTTGTGAATTGAACTTGAATAACCCTAATTAGTAGGGGTGTCCATTCGGTTTTCGGTTTGGATTTATGCCAAATCCAATCTGATCCGAAATAAAATTCGATTTTTAATTTTTAAATCCGATCCGATTCGA